TGTCACAAGGTTAATTATGACCATTGACAACACTGGTTTTGAACTCACAAATGCATACTGTTTCTCTTGAATTATAGACGTATTGTTAACCAATGCTAACCACAGAAATCCATAAACCTTCTTTTAATAAAGTCACATGAATCAAAATCCTGCAAAATAGCCCCTACTCCACACTAAACAAATTGTGAGCAGCGGCTGCTATGTATGGTGAGAGATCCTGTGGTAAAACAAATAGATCTGTTTTGGCTCTACCATTAAATTAATCAATAATAATATCTGAGCTTATGAAATAGCCACATGTAAAAATCAGCCTATCAGCTTTTATAAAACATGATTAACTTCTATGTATAACTGCATTACTGAAGAGGGAAATCATTAACCATCTTTCAGCTACCCTTGGTTGATATTAATAAGAAAAGAATTGTTTCTGAAGCTGCTCCACTCCGTAAAATCTTTTAAAATCCAATTACTGGAATGGGGGAGGAATATTCAAATCACACATAAACCTTTCTTTGCATATTACTGCAGTTCTCACAGGCACCAGGGAGTCTTTACAAACTGCAGAAATCAAGCATTTCCTAAAAATAAGTTATACATGACCTTAAATGCCTTGTATGATGGATGGCAGAATTCACAGACATTCAGCTTTACATTCACTGCAGTTGATGCAAAAATCTTCTGGTAAAGGAGAAGATTAAGAACACTGGTCTAGTAATATCAAGCCCATACAGAAAGGACACCCACAAGTAGTGCTCCACTGTTACCCCGAAATAATTAAAAAATAAGTTGAGGAAGTTGGAAACAATGAAGATTTGGGATCTGTGACTGTTTACTTCCATATTGGAAAGGGGATGAGTGTGGAAGGCAGTGAGGTGAAAGTGTGTATGAGCAGAGAATTTAAAAACAAAAAAGGGCACTGTTAAAACAGTCAGGAAAACACATGGTTTTGAAATGTTTTCCCTCATTAGAACCTAAACTGCATCTGCATATACTGTGCATGAGCTGAAGAGATAATTAATTAGTCCTTGTTTCTGCAATTTCCAAATAAAATCAGCCAAATGCTGGGTGAGATAACCTGCTTCTTTTTTATGCAAAAACCTATGTTCCAATAAAATCCTTCCCTCAAGACACAGTAGATGATCCAGCAAAGCTGTGGATGATAGCTGGAGAGCTGTGATATTCAAACACTCCCTCAGGGTTCAAAATGGAGACTTCACAGAGACTCAAGACTGATCCAAGGAATGGTTAGCTGACCAGGGAGACTCAAAGTGATGTTGGAAGTAATGTAATTCCCCCTAACACAGAAGGATCCACTAGAATTCTTGCTCTATTATTTTTCAGCAAAGATGTTAAAAGATCCCTATAGTGATTGCTACATATTTTTATTTCCACTTCAGGTATAGGAAAAACAAGACCAGAATGTCATTCTGGTTAAATGCATTCATCCAGAAAGCATTCCCAGTCGAAGAACAGAAGATACCACAGATGAAATCACCTTGCCAAAACCATGAGTTTTGCTGCTAACTTCACCAGACTTATGTTTTCACAACAAGAAATTTTGTTCCCATTTCCATAATTTTTCTCAGCTATGTGTGCCTTCCAACTTAAAAGTCATAAAACAACAGAACTTAAACTTCACCTCTGAAAATTAGCTTACTTTAAATGGCAAGTTGATCTCACTAAAAAAAATAAAAAATAAATAAATAAAAAAAAAATAGAATGTGATTATCACGTCTCCTGGTATCCTAGTTTCAAGTATCCTAGGAGTTTGTTTAAAGACAGAAGTTGTTAGAAAACACTATTTTCCACAAAGAATGTTGAGAAGCCTGGGATGAATGTGTAATTTGTAGAAGAAATCACTATTCTTTTCCTGGGAGGCTACTACAGATGTTTAGCAGATGAAAGGTTAAATCAGGCATTCCTCACCAGGTCAGCCATACTATCACCTATGTGGATATGAATGAAAGGCACTTCTGTGAGTAATGCCTGGCTCCAGGAAGATCTTTCCAAGGTTCATCTTGCTTTTCTTATTTGGGCCCCTCATATGTCTGTGCCTATGGGTAGAGGAGGGTGGGTAGTAGGTGTTCATCTCCTTCTTAAACCCAGGGCTTAAATTACCAGGCAAAGGCAATGTGGCTGTTTAGGATGGATCAGAAAATATCATTAATCACTAACCCTATGTTTCTGCTTTGCTTTGTTAAGACTAGCAATAAATCACCTTTCTGAGTAAGGAATGCAATATTTAGATCCACCCCCTTTTGAATTAAATTGTTATTGCAGAAACGGACCTACTTACACCCAAATAAGTCAAATAACGATCAAGGGTTTATTTATTTGTTTATTTATTTTTAAAGCCACCTTATTTAAAAAAGCAGTTACAACTACAATTTTACATCCCTCCTGATGGCAACAGTAATAACTGAAAAAGCATAATTTTGCCTGTAAAAAGGCATTTGTGCAAAGGAAGCACAATCTCCACTGCTTTTAGCTATTTCTATACAACAGCATCTTGTTTAAAACAAACTTGAAGCAATTTTACTGTAAGGAGGGAATGCGTCATCCTTTGGAACATGAAAAAATGGAGAACATTATTGTAGCTAGCTTGTTTTTTGTAGGTCAGATCTTTGTATTGTAGGTAAAGATTTCTCTGCAGGGATGGCCTCTGAACTTTTCTGTTCTGGCAGGTGCACTGTTTTCTCTTTCTATTAAAATATCTAGATATATGTGAATATTGTCCATTACTCAGGGGGTCTTGTTTCTGAAGCCTCTGAACAACTATTCTAGAGCAACATTCACACATTTACAGTTAAACCTTTCTTCCCTTTTGGGTATGTTATCTTCACCTTCCAACTTAACAGCGTCAGTAACAGATTTTATATTAGTCTTATTTTGGTACAGAATATGGTATTTTAATGACAAACCTGGCTGGTACAGCACCAGTTAACAGTATGACACCACTATAAATTGTTTTCTTATGGCATACATCAACAGCTAAAATTACATTGTTTTACCATTGTTAGCATAGTAATAGCAAGGCAACAGCTATGCAATTCCACGGAGCAGCAAACTGTCAAAGTACTGCAGGTATATAACAAGCAACACTTGATGAAAGTATCTTATTTCGTATGCATATGTAAAATAGGTGCTAAATCTTTAACTTACATAAATCAAATGACACCATTTCACACTCTAACCCTAAGTAAACCTTCATGTCCAAACGTAGGCTATAAACGTCTCTGAGGAAAGCCTGTGACAGGGTGGGTTGCTCAGCTGTTTACTGTGGAGTTAATTCTCATCTATACTTTGCTTCAGAAGAATAATCATGCTAGCAGGGGTGCTGGTTTCCTATGTTTCAGATAGCATCAGGCCAGTAGCAGCGCAGAAGTCAATGACCAGCACCCCTAAAAGTATGTCCTATTCTCTACAAAAGGAACTTCTCAGCAGTAAGCCCCTTCACCTGTGTGCCATCCTTTCTCGTTTATACTGAACACTAAGGAGGATGAAACACCATGGGAGGGAAAATTTTTCCTTCAGATCCACTCTCCAGGATCAAAGGTGGCTGGGGAAGAAGGTCTGGAGTGACTTCTTTTTGTATTACCCATACACAGATATTAACTGTCCTGCTGAAGAGCAGGGTTTTTAGCACTGTATGAAACACAAGATCTACACACAAATATATAGTGATACTGTAGGCATGTATCCAATAAACATTCTTTTTCCTACCAGAGTGTTCTGCAGATATTAGTTATAATCACTAAGTTTTGTTTTGTTTTCTTTTGATCTATGATGTTTTCTCTTCCTTTATGTGGATCTATAGAATAGAGCTCAAGCAAAAATACTGATGGAAGTATTGTACAGCAATTCATCTAATACAACATTTTAGACTATGTTTGATCTTTAATGTATCTCAGTTTTGTTCTGCATTTTAAAGATTATAATCTTAGTTTTATTTTATTCTTTTATGACTCTTTATTTAACTATTTTATTTTAAAACAAATCAAAGACTTAAATATATATAAAACAAAAGATTTTGTCTGATCAGATCAGAGCAGGCTTCCCAAACTATGGTATTCATATAATTAATTTCATAGTGAAGACCATCAGATCATTTCAAAGCAGCAAATATCTTGGAGCAGCTGTTGGTGATATCTGCCGCGACCACCGCTTAAGAGCAATACAGAGTACAACCACCCCTGTTGAAGGTGGCACATGGCACACAAAATCAATTGATTTCTACTCTAGGATATATAATCAGATAGTGTGCAGTCATATTTGTTTTGAGTCATAAGTGGTGTTGGTCTGTGAATTTCCAGCTTGCTATTCACTATTAGAAAATCAACACTTCAGTTCCCCAAGACCTTAGTTTGAAATCTAACGATAAAATACAACTACAAAGATATGTGAACAATATACATATAGGTAGATGTACATACATATACAATGAATGTTTCTTCCAGCTTGTTCTGAAGGCTCTGCATATGCTTGTGATATGCAATGGAACAGACATATCAATGTACAAATGTGTTTGCACTTGTTCAAAGAACACACACTACTTTGTTATTAAAAGGAAATCCTCACATAAGAAAGAATATATGTATTACCTTTTATTTTTAACTTTTTTTATTATTATTATTTTAACATATGCTTAATAAGAAAAATACCTCCCCCTTTACAAATTAAGGCTATGTTAGGAATCAGAGTCAATAAGATCATTTGATTTCGTTTACTATACTTGCAAAATATTAGATGAATTTATTTCATGAGAGATACTTTCACGTTAAGCCTTATCATGCTTACCAAGGACATTTTTCCAGGGATCAAAATCATCTTAACAGAATTTATTGTCTTCATTTACTAAATAAAGCCTTTCTACATTTTTCACTTTAAGAGGAATTACCACCATTTACTAGGGTACAGAAGTATGGTTACAATTTGCTATAAACCTTTGTATAAAATGAGCCTCCATTTGTACAAGTCAAGAACATATTGAAAACACTTACCTGGAATCGATAAAAGGTGCCATCATCCTTTAATGTTAGAACATGGTCTGAGATTGGAAAAAAATAGCCATGTGCTGCCATCAGTGTTCCCAAATGCAGAGCTTCCACTGTTTGAAGGAGAAAAGAAAAGAAAGAGAAATTTAAAAATTTAAACAATTTATTTTAAGCAATTAAGTTTTCTTGTTCGGATTTACCCTACCTCCTGCAGATAGCCACTTGACTCTCATTCTAGAACCTTGCATCATGAAAGCACTGTCTTCTTTTGTGTAATATAATGATACAATTAAAATGTTTACTGTCCTTAATGAACAGCTATTAGATGTCCCATTTGTAGCTGCATTTCCACTACTTACATCAGCATTATCAGGTGGCTTCTGTGATGTTCACACATTTGTTTTGAAGGTGAAAACAGATAAAAATGTTATCCTCATGGTATAACCTGCTTTTCCTCTTCAGAACAGTTTCAGATTACATCACATTAAGACAGTTGAATCTAAATGTATAATAATATGTCCCAACTGTATAAGTTCACTAGCTTTATCAGAACTATAGTTAAGGACAGATTTCCTTACAAGTTTCTCATTACTGGGAAAATAAAGGAAGACAGAATGGTTGCGGTTGGAAGGAACCTCCGGAAGTCATCTGGTCCTAGCCTTGCTCAAGCAGAGCCACTTAGAGCAAGCTGCCCAGGACCATGTACAGTCAGGTTTTGCACACCTCCAAAGAGGTAGACTCCATAACCTCTCAGGCAAGCTGTGTTAGTGCTCAATCACCCACACAGTAACAAAGTGCTTAGATGTTTAGATGGAAACTCCTGGGTTCCAGTTTTTGCCCATTGCCTCTTGTCCTGGCAGGCACTGAGCAACACTGGAAAAAGCCTGGCTCCATTTACTTTACACCCTCCCTTCAGGTATTTTTACCCATTGATGAGATAAGCCCTGCAGCTTTGTCTTCTTCAAGCTGAACAGTCACATCTCTCTCAGCTTCACGTCACAGGAGAGATGTTTCAGTCCCTTTATCATCTTTGTAGCCGCTCTTTGGACTTTTCCCAATGTGCCTTTTCCTATCTTGTACTAAGGAGCCAAGAACTGGACACCAGAGTTGAATACATTGAATTTACTGAGTTGGAAGGAAACCAAAAGGCCCATTGAGTCCAGCTTCTGGGTCCACACAAACCACCAAAAAATCAGACCAGATGCCTGAGAGAGTTGTCCAAATATTTCTTGAATTCCGGCAGGCTTGGTGCTGTGACCACTGTCTTGGTTAGCCTGTTCCAGTGCCCAACCACCTTCTCAATGAAAGAACCTTTTACTGATATCCGACTCCTGTGTTGCAGCTTCATGACATTAATTCTATTCACTTTAATGAACAAAATCAAAATATGTAACAGACAGGATTATACACACTTGCATTTTCTGTCCCTGAAGTCTGTTACTCAATATTGTGATTATTTGGCTTACAACATCAGCAATTTATAGGAAGAGAATGATATTAGTTAGCTGTGCTCTTGCTGCAGTCCTACCAATTCTTCACCATGTTTGTTTTTTTTTTGTTTGTTTGTTTGTTTTTTTAAATATGAATTTCATCAGTATTCCAGAAAATTCCTTCTTTCACACATTTTCTCACCTAGGGATGATCACTGGTATAAGAAATCCAGGAGGCAGAGTGGGGCATTTTCAAGCTACCCCAAACTCAGCAAGAATGTGAAAGGAGGAAGAGAGGGGGTCTGGAGAGTAGTTCATTGGGAGCACAAAACCCTAGCAGGGTTTATTCAATATCCAATAATCCCTGTGATATCTGTGTCTGGCAAAGTGTGTGGTCTCTTATTCCCATCCCTCTGTCAGAGCCATTATCTAAGAAAACACAATACCCTCTCTCTGGAAGTGAACTCTCTGACCTGCTATAAAATGCCACAATCCTGTTAACAAGCCTTTTTTCTAACTGCAAGTCTACAAGAAAACTCCCAAACTGAAGGAAGTCAGTTGACTCTCTCTCAGAACCTGGGATGTGTGTAAATTCATATCTGAACTTCATCCTAATTAGCCTAAGCCATATATTGTTAGTCATCTACTGCAAGCCACTAAAATCTATTATCCCTTGGATAAGACATTTAAGTCAACACATTCTGTAGTGAGTCACTGAGGTTCTCTTCATTTTGGTTTACTTTGTCTACTTTTTAATTTTATTAAGCTTTTCTTTCTTCTTCACACTGCAACTTATTGTCAATTTAAAAGCTTTGTTTTTTTGCAAGCATTATGCATCTTTGTGGAATGAGAGCAAAACCAAAAGAAAATATGTGTTGACTTCACGGAGATGTGGTGGGTCTACTCTCATGACTGGAGTGCTGCAATGACTGGCTATAAGCTCTTCAGAAGGGACACGCAGCAGAGAAGGGATGGTGGTGTGGCTCTCTATATTAGACAGTCTTTCGATGTTGTAGAACTTGAGGCTGGGAATGACAAGGTCGAGTCCCTTTGGGTTAGGATCAGCGGGGACAACAAGGTTAGCGTCCTGGTTGGGGTCTGTTACAGACCGCCAAACCAGGATGAGGAGACGGATGAGGACTTCTACAGGCAGCTGACAGAAGTTGCGAAATCTTCAGTGCTTGCTCTCGTGGGGGACTTCAACTTCCCTGACATATCCTGGAAGCACAACACAGCCCAGAGAAAGCAGTCTAGGAGGTTTCTGGAGAGCGTGGAAGATAGCTTCCTGACGCAGCTGGTTAGTGAGCCTACCAGGGGTGGTGCCCCGCTAGACCTTCTCTTCACAAACAGAGAAGGACTGGTGGAGGATGTGATTGTCGGGAGCTGTCTTGGGCAGAGTGACCATGAAATGGTGGAGTTCTCTATTCTTGGAGAAGCCAGGAAGGGGACCAGTAAAAGCCCACTCTATTGGGCTTCCAGAGGGCTGACTTTGAGCTGCTCAGGACACTGGTTGGTAGAGTCCCTTGGGAGGCGGTTCTGAAGGGCAGAGGAGTCCAGGAAGGCTGGTCACTCTTCAAGAGGGAAATCTTAATGGCGCAAGAGTGGTCTGTCCCCACATGCCCAAAAAGGAGCTGGCGGGGAAGAAGACCGGCCTGGCTGAACAGAGAACTGTGGCTTGAGCTTAGGAGAAAAAAGAGGGTTTATAATCTTTGGAAAAGTGGGCAGGCCACTAAGGAGGACTATAAGGATGTTGTGAGGCTGTGCAGGGAGAAAATTAGACAGGCCAAAGCTCATCTGGAGCTCAATCTGGCTACTGCTGTTAAAGATAACAAAAAATATTTTTATAGATACATCAACACAAAAAGGAGGACTAAGGAGAATCTCCATCCTTTACTGGATGCGGGGGGAAACTTAGTTACAAGAGATGAGGAAAAGGTGGAGGTGCTTAATGCCTTCTTCACCTCGGTCTTTAGCGGCAATACCGGTTGTTCCCTGGATACCCAGTACCCTGAGCTGGCGGAAGGGGATGAGGAGCAGGATGTGGCCCTCACTATCCATGAAGAAATGGTTGGCGACCTGGTACGGTACTTGGATGTGCACAAGTCGATGGGGCTGGATGGGATCCACCCAAGGGTACTGAGAGAACTGGCAGAGGAGCTGGTCAAGCCCCTATCCATCATTTATCAGCAGTCCTGGCTATCGGGGGAGGTCCCAGTTGACTGGCGGCTAGCAAACGTGACGCCCATCTACAAGAAGGGCCAGAGGACTGAACCGGGAAACTACAGGCCTGTCAGTTTGACATCAGTACCAGGGAAGCTCATGGAGCAGATCCTCTTGAGAGTCATCACGTGGCACTTGCAGGGCAAGCAGGCGATCAGGCCTAGTCAGCATGGGTTTATGAAAGGCAGGTCCTGCTTGACGAACCTGATCTCCTTCTACGACAAAGTGACGCGCTGGGTGGATGAGGGAAAGGCTGTGGATATGGTCTACCTTAACTTCAGCAAGGCTTTTTACACCGTTTCCCATGGCATTCTCCTCAAGAAACTGGCTGCTCTTGGCTTGGACTGGCGCACGCTTCGTTGGTTGGAAACTGGCTGGATAGCCGGGCCCAAAGAGTCGTGGTAAATGGAGTCAAGTCCAGTTGGAGGCCAGTCACTAGTGGCGTCCCCCAGGGCTCGGTGCTGGGGCCGGTCCTCTTTAATATCTTCATCAATGATCTGGATGAGGGCATTGAGTGCACCCTCAGTAAGTTTGCAGATGACACCAAGTTAGGTGTGTGTGTCGATCTGCTCGAGGGTAGGAAAGCTCTGCAGGAGGATCTGGATAGGCTGGACCAATGGGCTGAGGTCAAATGCATGAAGTTCAACAAGGCCAAGTGCCGGGTCCTCCACCTGGGGCGCAATAACCCCAAGCAGAGCTACAGGCTGGGAGATGAGTGGTTGGAGAGCTGCCAGGCAGAGAAGGACCTGGGAGTGATGGTGGACAGTCAGCTGAATATGAGCCAGCAGTGTGCTCAGGTGGCCAAGAAGCCCAACGACATCCTGGCTTGTATCAGAAACAGTGTGACCAGCAGGGCTAGGGAGGTGATCGTCCCCCTGTACTCGGCTCTGGTGAGGCCGCACCTCGAGTACTGTGTTCAGTTTTGGGCCCCTCGCTACAAGAAGGACATCGAGGTGCTTGAGCGGGTCCAGAGAAGGGCGACGAAGCTGGTGAGGGGCCTGGAGAACAAGTCTTACGAGGAGCGGCTGAGGGAGCTGGGCTTGTTCAGCCTGGAGAAGAGGAGGCTCAGGGGTGACTTTATTGCTTTCTACAGATACCTTAAATGAGGCTGTAGTGAGGTGGGGGTTGGTCTGTTCTCCCACGTGCCTGGTGACAGGACAAGGGGGAATGGGCTTAAGTTGTTCCAGGGGTGTTTTAGGTTGGATGTTATGAAGAACTTCTTTACCGAGAGGGTTGTGAGGCATTGGAACGGGCTGCCCAGGGAAGTGGTGGAGTTACCATCCCTGGAAGTCTTTAAAAGACGTTTAGATGTAGAGCTTAGGGATATGGTTTAGTGGGGACTGTTAGTGTTAGGTCAGAGGTTGGACTTGATGATCTTGAGGTCTCTTCCAACCTAGAAATTCTGTGATTCTGTGATTCTGTGACTTTTTTTTTAGAGAAAAGACTTCTTGGATTAAGTGTGA